AGATGGAGTGACAGCATATAAAAGATGAGCATGAGATCCTATAAAATAGAAAATATCATGGTAACATGTACAGCAGACAACTATCAATGTGACTTACATATCAACTTTTCATCGCTTAGCATGTCAAAGACATCAACAAATTTTCGGAAAAAGGAAAGAAATTTCATCGCAGCCAATTTACCAGGTTTATGTTTACTAGCCTACAAAAACCATTATCCAGAGTAGAAAATCATGATGCACACAAACTAGTATATTTGTATTCATAATTGTTAAAGATCACCTAGTGATATGGCAACGATGCCACGCAACTGATATTGTATCGTATAAAGGTGATCCAGCATGTCTTTCTCTTGCTCTTCGGACAAATCTTCTTTTGCTTTCAGTAGGCATATATGTTCAACAACTTTTCTGCAAACATTACTATAAGGCTTTAGTTCTAACTACTAAGAAACATACAGTAATTCATCCTCATAAGTACAGGTTTCGTATATTGGCCTCACCAAGGTAAAACAATTAATGGGAGGTTCTGGGAGTTATTACTACTTTTCACATGTTACGAGCGAAATCCACATGAAATAAGCCTATTATGTGTCATATTTGCTTGGTACAATAAAAACTTATTATAAACGATCAAGTTAAATGGTGCATGGGCACGATGATCAGCACTATTTCTCATAGGCATTGGGGTGCAGGGTGGGAAAAATTAAAAAGCCTGAGTCCCTTATTAGCATTAATTCAATGTAAAAATTAGGTGTAGTGATTCAAAAGCTTATATGATAGTCTTTCTTTGGATGTTAAAGTCTTTTAAAGAACATGATTTTCAAAAAGAGGTACAACACCTCATTCTGGGCCGGACGAATTCGCACTATCATCTTATCAGTTAATTTTCTTTTGATAATAGAACTATATAAAAGCATTAAAACGTTAATAGGGAATTAGTTGCTAAAAATGCACTATATTTCCTTGTATATTAGATTAGTCTGCAGTCCACATAAATACAGTTACAATGATAAAAAAAACTTGCTCTCCCATTTTCTTATTATACCATGAAATGAATAATTCCTCTTTGATTTGCCTACATGTGGATTTCTTTTCCCATGTATTCTAGGAATGTGCTTAGGAAACTTAGCTGCTAGGCATAACTCATTTGTCACAAAAGTAGCCTTTTCACCAAAAGTGAAGACCAAACAATACTTGATATTAATCGAGCTGGTAAATGAGCTCAACTAGGCTCATCTATCAAAATTAACGAGCCAAACTCGAGCTTAACGAGCCGAGTTAAGCTGATAGTTTAAAAAAGTTATGCAAAAAAAACCCTATTTTTCAAGCCTAATGAGCCGCTCAGCTCAATTCATTTAACAACTCTGGTAAAAGACACCAAATCAGAAGCATATAGCATATTCAAAAGTCATGAATCTCGTCCCATGAAGATATCCACAAAATTGGTACTGAAAACTAAAGAACAAACTGAACAAAAGCAAGAAACTTAATAAGGAAAAGATGACCTCCTTCTCGGGGCACCAGCGTCCATGTTTCCTTCATCAACAGCTGAAACTACGGCTCGATTGACCTTCTTAGCCCAATCCCCCGAAATTTCTCTAGAATCAACAAACAGGGGAGCTGACAGCACAAATTTTACAACATGTAAAGATTGAAATTTGAGGTTAGAAAACGAAAACAAACAAAAGGAAGATAAAAATTCAAAATGCAAATAAAATGTAGATTTTCATACCACAGCAGCTCAAATTTTCCCTCTCCTTTAACCTTAGAGGTGTTCTTGAAAATGCTAGGGCTTTAGATGTAGTGCCATGGCGGCTGAGGGAAGGAGTGCGCGGACTGAAAATCTGGGTTAGGGTTTGCATTCTGTATTCTCACTGGTCCTTTTCTTGTTCTTCTGGCCCTCTTTTCTCTGTGATCTGTAAGAATATGTGGTGATGAAATTGGAGGGGAGAGCAGATTCTTGGCAAGTAAAATGGGTGGACAGTGTAAAACAGCAATTTAAATGGTGGTGGGCTTGTGATGGCGCCTAATTTATACTCCCTCCATTTTGAAATATAAGGCATTTAAGGTTATTGCACAAGTATTAAGGAGACATTAATTAATGAATAAATTGACTAAATTAACCTTATTTACTCTAATCACAACCACTCCACACTTCCTTAATTTCAACACAATGAGGGTATATTTGGAAAAAAATGCAAAAAATTGTCTTGATTTTTGAGCGCGCCTTATATTTCAAAAAAAATAAGAAATCTTTATACGCCTTATATTTCAAAATGGAGGGAGTATTTGTTTGTTCCTTTCCCAATTTCTTCTTTTCATAGATTTATTATATATTCTCGCATCACACCGTCACACTTGTTTTCGAACAATTTTTTTTTTAAATGGTGATGATCACGTCCATCAAGATCAAGTTGAAGCCGAGTTTTGTTTTTTAAAGCAAATTCTTTAATTGATTCAATCAAAAGTTTGGGGTATAACTGTATAAGTATTGAATATTGATACAACACATAAGATAGCTCGAGTAAATTGGCCACGGTCAGCACGATTTCTAGACCGAAAATTAGCTAGGCTTGCTGGCCTTGAAATATGAGTGCTCAAGTAGCTCGAATAGTTAGAGCACGTCTCTAGCTTGGACACTAGGGAGCTCGAACAACTTAGGTATATCTATAGTTCGGACACTGGGGAGCTCGAACAACTTAGGTATATTTATAGCTCGGACAATTTAGGGATGATTATAACTCTGATATTAAGGAGCTTGGACATACAAGGTTCGCCAACAGCTCAGACACATGATAGCTTGGGCATGATGATAAGTAATTAGCCCAAATAGGAAATGGAGCAACCAACATAATAGGTCAAGCATAGGTTGTTAACAAAGAACACATGTAGGTTACAAATAAAAGAAATAGATGATCTGACAGACGAGAATAGAATCAAATAACTGACGAGCAGACATACGGGTAACATAGTAACCGACGGGCAAACCTTTTGGGCAATTTGGGCAATCGAGTAGGCTTTTTGGGCAATCAGGCAAAACAAAGACTTGTTCAGCAAGCCAATAATCTTTATCAATAGATAAAATTTGAAGAAGATAAAGGTTAATCACACTTTATACATTATAAACTCTTAGTATTTTCTCACACAGCATTTCATATCACCTTACTAACTTGACTTGATTAGTTGTTGAGAGATGTTTAGCTAATTCTTAGTATTCTTAAATTTTTTTATTAATTGAATTATTATATATGTTGAGTTAAATGAATTAAATAAATAAATATATACAAAAAATGTTAAAATACAAAATAAAATATTTTCCATGAAAAATTTGTGTTGGACAAGAGATAAAAGTTACTAAAAATAAAAATTTAATTATCATAAGTTAGTATTCCATGCCATTAGAGTGATTATAAATAAAAATTAATTTTATGGATTAAACGTTGATCAGTTATCGAGCAATATGAATTGCAAAAAAAATTATAAGATTAATATAATCGATAATTATATAAGTACATGCAAGTAATTAGTATACAATCATTATATTTTAAATCTTACACTTTCAAGTATTTTATAAACTAATAACTAATTAAATTCATACCTACAAAAATAAATTGGAAAAGTAAAATATAAAATATTTAAATAAATATTATATTATTATAGACTTGATATGTTGTGTCGAACAGAATTAACATATTATCTTAAATAATTTAATAATATTTAATAAAAATACTTTTTATATTGTATCCCATGCATCGCACGATAGCAATACTAGTATATTTTAATGTTGGTTTTATAATGATTTGTACGTCTAAATATATCCTTACCCTAATGGTTTGTTTCCACAAATTTAGGATATTTACTTCATTCAAAATACATCACACATTATATTATCTCAACCTAAATATAAAATACAATATTTTTCAATCAAACAAATTTTATACCTTTTATTAACTGATTTTTTGCAATCAAGATTTACATTCATATCAGACGAAGGAGTGATCAGTTGCATGATATTTGAGATTTTGAAAAATCTGTTGAATATTAATACATATTAATACGGGAAATCACACCAAATTTAAAATTGTTTCCAAAAGAAAAAATATAATTGTTTTTCTACTAAACTATTTTGCACAAGTAAAATATGATATGCATGGTTGTATACAATATTATGTTTTTGAAATGCCCGTTTAAAAAAGTCTAGCATTTTCTTGGATAAACAAAAATTGTATTTTAAAATCCAATTGACTGAAAATTTGATATTATTGAGGAAGGAAAGTTTGCTTGTTTTATCTATATATATATAATTACAAGTTAAGTAATAAATTTTACTTAATAAATAAAACTTAATAAATTTTACCGCAAATCATTAATAAAATCTAATAAATAGAACCTAATAAATTTTATTTATGTAGCATTAATACACCCAATCTCATTAATAAGAAAATATTTCATTACATTTTTTGGGTTAATTAAGACAAAAACCATTATATTTTATGTTAATTGATTAATAATTATATTTTTTATTGAAAAATATAATAGTTAATATTCAAATTAGTAATTATATTTTATACTAAATAATATATGAAAGTTACATAAAATTATATTTTACACTAAAATCAATATTTTTTTTATATGATGAAGATGATGTTTATTAATAAATTAATTTTTTTATGTCATAGTAAAATTTCTTAAAATCACATAAGCAATTGTTATAATAAATGTAATATTTTTCAGCTAATTAATTGGTCTTGATCACTCAAAATTATAAAAAGTATATATTTATTGCATTTTATGCAATCAATATAGTGATTCGTATACAATCAAATCGTGTGTGCTATTTATTTTAACCAATGATCAAATTTTAAAATATAATACTATTATATAATTTATAATTTTAATATTATATACATAAATATAACTTATAATACTATATGTTTGAAATATAATACAATTATATAACTTATAATTTTTATATTATATACATACATATAACTTACAATATTTAATTTTATTTATACCTGTGCAAATGCACAAGGTCGAATACTAGTATATATAATTACTAGCTAATAGCATTTAAGAAAACCTATTTAATAAAACTTCTAAAATTTTCCCTCCATTTTTGGTTACAAAATTTATCATTAATGTTTTTTACTTCTCACATTAAAACATCCTATTGAGTTAATCATGTATTTTTATATTATATTATATAATAATTAATGCTAATACCAACTAATAATTATTCACAATAAATATAAATTGCATAATTATAAACAATTGTTTCAAGTTATTTATTTTAACATCAATATTATCTTTGTCTTTTGTATCTCATGAAAAAATTTCTTTAAAAACAATTAGTAAATTGTTTTAATAGCATAGTCAAACAACTTTAGAATCTTATAAACAATTGTTTTTGTAATAATAATAATAATAATAATAATAATAATAATAATAATAACAATAATAATAGTAATAATAATAATAATAATAATAATAATAATAATAATAATAATAACAATAATAATAACATTCAAACTGCTATTATCTAATGATAATAAACAATTGTTCATAATAATAAACAATCATTAATTTATTTTTCTTAATGATTAAATTTTAAAAACGTATTATGTTCATTATCTAAAATTTTAATATTAAATTCTCAAATATTACTTATAATGTTTTATGTACATCTGTGCATGTGGACATGATATTTATTAATTTTGTATTAATGGTATACCATATCACGGATATGTATACGTACATTAGATTATTAAATAACACGTTTGAAAGTCAAGTCTCTAATTGAACGCAAATTTGACGAAGTTAGAGGACATTTTGAATTCAAAAAATGAATATTGTCTTTGTTACAGATGTTAATAAAATTATTGAAGGAATTAATATTTTTTATTATATCTTATCTGAAAATGAGTATATGTAAAAATTTATTGCGTATATTTAAAAAAATTTTCAAAATAATATATATTAAAGTTGATGAATAGCGAATTAAAGTTGATGTGATGTGTAAAAATGATTGGTTGATATTACTTAATTATATCAATAATATTGATGATACTATAATTAAATTAAAAAAAAATAATTCAATTAAAAATATTTGAATTTTTTTCGTAAAATTGTATTCAAGCATCCTCTAAATGTGCTGCACTAGCACGGCCAGCACGGCACAATTGAGAAATAGGATACCATCATCTACCAGGACACGCGTCCGCTCATAAATATCCCAATACCAATAGAAGCAAAAAAACTTTGAAAAGAAAGAGATGATATTTTGAGAATACCTTCTGGCTCCTTCTTCAATGGCCCCCCGAAACTTTAGTCGGATCCAATCTGACCCTACTTTTGATTTTTCCCGTCCCAAATTCCAAATATAAATTAGTATTAATAAAGTCATTAAGGAAAATTCCCACAATTAAAGCATTTTTATTCTCTTTTTAGTTACTATCTAAAATAAATACCAGTACTGTTTCTTCAACCTTCTTTGGGAGAACCTTCTAGAAAATAAATATCATAACTATCCACCCACCGCACCTCTCCGCCATTTTGAGTGATTTGTTTTTTCTCTTTTTCCAGATTTCATTTGCTTCTGCGGCACTTTTGTGAGCAGTTTGAAAGGTTGAAGAAGAAGCATTTTCACACAGGTAATAATAATGAAAAATATCTCATTAAGTAATATATAAACACACACACACACACACATTAAATTTTGATTTTACATAAAATCATCGGATTTTTCACTTGGATCTGTGAATTAAACGTTTTCCATTATGTTTGCATATTTATTCCATTTTATTTTGTCGAAATTTCTTTAATTTCTTTTTTTCTTTTCCTGGTTAGATCTCATTTTTTGTTGTGCAATTATTGCTTTTCCACAGCTATTTTTTCTGAGAGCAAAAAAATTTGTATAAAGTTTTCGATCTGTTACAGATAATCTTGAAAAAAATTATTGTGATTACATATGGCTCAGGTTTTGGTACAGAAAATTAAGCTGCTTGTTTGCGTTTTTCCGGTTTAAATCTGTGGTGGCGTGTTGTGTTTGTGTGAAATGAGCGGTGACGGAGCTGTTAGCGGCGGCGGCGGAGGGAGCAGCGGAGGAGAGACAACGAAATTGGAGACGCAGAGGTCCATTAATCCGACGCCGTTTCTGACAAAAACGTATCAAATCGTGGAGGATCCGAAATTGGACGATTTGATCTCGTGGAATGAAGACGGGACGTCCTTCGTCGTATGGCGGCCAGCTGAATTTGCCCGTGATTTGCTGCCTAAATATTTCAAGCACAACAATTTCTCCAGTTTTGTACGGCAGCTCAATACCTATGTAAGCTCGCCGTTCCATAGAAATTCATTCATCTTTTTTCTTAATATGTTAGGCATTTTAAGCCGATTGATCGAATTGTGCAGGGATTCCGGAAAGTTGTTCCCGATCGGTGGGAGTTCGCTAACGATTGTTTCCGGCGAGGCGAGAAAGCGATGCTCAGAGACATCCATCGCCGGAAAATCTCGACCGGAGTTTCCACTGTCCCGGCGGCGCCTCCCACCGCCGTACCAACCGCGCAGCCGTTGCAGGCGGTCGCTCCGGTAGCGGTTATCCAAATCTCTCCGGCAGACTCCGGCGATGAACAGGTTCTCTCCTCCAACTCGTCCCCGGCGGCGACCGGGGCAACAGCCACCACGCCTCGGGCCTGCGCGTCGGCGCCGGAGATAATGGAGGAGAACGAGAGGCTGAGGAGGGAGAATTCGAAACTGAGGCACGAATTAAACCGACTGAGAAGCCTTTGCGGGAATATATACAACCTGATGTCTGGCTTTGCGGCGAATCCGGGCGAAGCCGTGCCACCGGAGGCGAGGGCCTCGCAGTTACTGCCTGGGATGAACGGCGCCTCGCCGGAAAACGGCGCCGGAGAAAAGGAGGCGGCGGCGGCGGAGGAGGAGGATGAGGAGATTTGCCCTAGGATATTTGGGGTGTCGATCGGTGTGAAGCGGCTGAGGTGCGAGGAAAGGAAAGGTGAGGACCAGCGCACGCTCCTCCTTGGGCCGGAGTATAAATCCGAGCCGTTGGATCACGGGAGCAGTAGCATCGACGGCCACGATTCTCCAAAGCTTGATAAATTGTGAATGTTAAAAAAAAAAAGGGAAAAATCTTGTCACTCTCTAGGGTTTTGATGGACCGTTGGTTTCGGTTTGACGAAGAATGGATAATGTAACGCGTGGCGCCCTGTCACGATGTCACGTGATGGAAGACCCCCGACCTATTCTTCTGGAGCTTTCTCTGATGATGTTGATTAGTGGGCCAGTGTGTTAATGTGTCTTGATGGATTGGGCCTATCGATTGTAAAGATCAATAATTTAAAGTGGGCTTTGTTGTGTGGATGGAAGGAAAAAAGTCTCAGGCTTTTCTTGGCTAGATTTGACTGGAGAATTTTGTGAATTTGAGTGGTATCGGTGCTGACCTGTTTTTAATTTCTTATGTAGAAAAAATCTACACATGGTCGTGTGGAAACACTTATTATAAAATTTATTTTATGTAATTTTAGCTTTACCATAGCATAACACCTCTGCCTCGTTTACTTTTCTTACCAATCATCAATAATCACTACGCATTTTGGCATTTTAGATTGACAACTAAATTTTAAAAAAATCAGATACGTCCAATTTAGCTTATGTCAACACGATTGATTTTAAATCATAAACATATAACCATACTCTTGATTAAATTGACTAAATGCTAATAGGAGGATTAAGATTGAAGACATTGGCTAGGACCTCAGCATGATCATTTAATTTCACTCCATAAACAGAAACAGAGAGCGCGAGGACTAGCGAGAATATATTGAGGTCAAAATAATAAGAATGAATTTCAGTCATGATTTGTGAAACAAATGTATAGGAGAAAGGAACTGGAAAATTATTACTTGAGAATACATATATCACTTACATACCATCACAACGAAACCAAACTAAATTATTAGAGTTTTTGCTTCAATCCCATCATATTTTATGCGAGTACACATAATAGATCCATGTTATCAAGAATATCATAAGTCTTAACGACCTACAATGAGTTGCTAACACAATACACAAATACACAATACATGCAAATATTTGTGGATAAACAATAGGAATAAGAACCACCGGCAACAATGGATGAGCAAGAGCACACTTTCTATCTTGCGCTCTCCTCTTCTTCTCATGGTTCTGTTTCGTTACCTCTGCATGAAATGATTATGGAATATCTAGGTAAATTAAATTTGAAACTCAAGGCATCTAAAGAGAATTGTTGACGTAAAACAAGAGATACATCAGACATGAAATGATAACCGCAATTGGACTTACAGAAAAGGACATCTCAAATCATAATTTATTCATGCCACATAATAGACCAACTTCTTTCTTTTTTTTCTTTAACTTCCATTTGCTAGCTAATGAAGAACTATTTTGGAGAATAAGCAATGTTGAAGTTTCTGATGTCCACATAAGCATATTAATAGCCTCTTGTCAGCAAAATGGAAATGAGAGCCACAGGAGGATCAGATTATATAAAAAAGAATATGTTTTTCAATTTTATGGATGCCAATACAGTAATTCAACGGCAAGATCATAGAATGAATGTGGTTTTTCTGCGAGACTGATGCATACTTTTCACATGAATGTCCCAACAACAGACAAAGATTATGACATATATCAAACAACATTCCTAGGAAAATAAAACTGAACGTCAAGTTAGCATATAAGATGCTGCTAACAGTGCACAGTGTACCTTGGCCTCATGTGTCTGTTCATAACCTCCTCGACCTGCAGTGTGTCCTTGAGGGGAACAAAGCTAGGAGTAAACGCCACATCAATAATGGGCATTGATCTCACCCAACGAAACCCGATAAATTTAAGTCTCTTGGTTCTCGGATTATAGCAGATCACATCATTCTCAACCCAAAGCATCACTATCTCCCCACTCCTGAGTACTTGCAGAGGCTTGAACCTCCCGAGTGCGGGCTTATCCACGGGCCTGACCAGATCAACAACAAAGTCCTTGCTCCAAGACTCTCGATTCCCATTCTTTTTTATCACCCAAAAATCCACATGCTGAGCATTAAAATTGTTGAAACACAAGCAAAGGCAACCTCTGAGAACACCGATGCTCATACTCTGCTCGTTTCTCAACTGTTCTTCCCCAAATTCGGACGGCAGCTCAACATCCCCGAAAATTTCCTTTTCATAATCAAAGAAAAGGATTCCATTCCAAGACTTGTCCAGCCAATACATAAATCCATTCAAGAAAATCGGGTACAAATCCCACGAGTGCTCAGCGCCCAAGGGTGCAGCTACAGCCTCGATGCTCCTCCACGAGTCAGGCCCAATCACAAACACCTGAGCTGCAAACTCAAAGTTGATGAGAGACCTTGATATTCTCATAACCTTATACTGATTGGTACCAGGACTAAACCCTAACCACATGCTCTTAGTCTCCGTCTTCAACCCAAGTTCCCCATCAACTTCCGGAATCAAAAGGTACTCATTCGTGACAGGGTTACACACAAGGGAATGCTCATCCCGCGCGTACCTCCTGACGAGGTAAATCAGCCCATTGCACGAATTCGTGAGGACGAAATTGTTCGGCTCGCGCAAATTGGTGCGGTAGAGCGAGACGCTGGTGCCCATCTTGGGCAGCTGGAACAAGGGTTTCGGAGAGAAATAGAGCCCCGAGCGCAGGTCGAGCTCCGGCTCGGCCAGGCTGAGGATGTGCGACGGGTTGTTGGCGCCGCCGCGCTGGAGAAGGAGGATTTGGGCGGCGTTGGAGGAGTGGAGGTCGATGAAGTGGGGGTTTGGGGAGGTTAAGGTGAGAAAGGTTTTGCAGACAGACCTGCTGAGGAAGAGGGTTCTTAGAGGGAGGCGGACGAGGATCTCCATAATGATGTTCGGCGGGAGATCGATGAGCGACGGCGCCATTGTCGCTGATTGCTTGTTCGCCATTTTTTTCCTTTTCTTTTTTTCTTCCTTTGTGCGTGTGCGTGTGTGTTGACGATGAACTTAGTTATGAGTAGTGATGCTTCAAATCACACCTAACCAGGTTTGAGGTTTTCTCGACATAAACGTTTTGATGTATGAAGTATGAACATTAATAAAAACACATTANCACAATGTATTATATAACAAATAAATATTTTCTAAAAGTGTATAACTATTATATATATTTTTTAAATAAAGTTATTCCCTTGTAAATTCTAACTACGAATGATTATTAATATTTTCTTATTTTTATATTATCTCATCTCTATTTACATATTTTAAGTTTATAACACAGTTTTTAAAAATTTTATATACATAAGTAATTTAATTTTTTCACTTATTCTTCTTTAGTTAACGAGACATAATATTAAAAGAAAATATATCCAACTGCTAATTTGATATGAAATATTTTCATTTTTAATAATTCAAGGTATATTAAAAAAAAAAATCTCATTTCATTTTTTTCTCTGCAACTACAATTAAAAGAATAATCACTAGTGTATATTTTTCAAGACACTCTTTAGTATTCACACACTTATATATTTTTCTATCGACCACTACTAATTAATATTTTATTATTTTTACATCATATTAATTTTAATAAAGTTGTTGATATAAACTATGGCATCCAATAAGTGCATAATGCAGATACCTAGACTCAAAGATAAAGAAATTGCACAAAACAGTGGGAGGAACAACTTAGCATAACAATTGTTTTTATAACATAGAATAACATTATTCAAATATCAAGCCACACCACACATATCTCACAAACTTTTGACATATCATCAACATCACCAGTTGAATAAGAAGTAAAACCAGCTGCATGGAAATGGAAAATGCAGACTTGATGTTAAAACTTAAAAGCATATAGAGTTAAACTTGTCGATTATCAAGCGAAAAACTGCGATTTGTAAGTTTCCCACTCTGCCCTCAGCTCGTCCAACTCATCCTTCGCCTGTGATATATCCATCTCTTTGCCTTCGACCTTGGGATTCTTTTCTTCTGCTGTAACGTATAATCGGTGTGTCGTTTTAGACGCCTCTCGTCTCTGTTCCACGAGCTTTTTCGCTTCTTTTCTGGCTTCCTCCAAAGCCTCTTCCAATTCTTTGCATTTTTTTATTACCTCGTCGAGTTTACTTTTTACCCCTTCCTCGCTTTTAACCGCATCCTCGAGTTGATTAACGTTTTTCTCATAATCCGACAAGAAACTCTGTCCGTCTTCTAGAAGCTGAACAGAGTCCTTCCAGTCTTCCATTATTCTCGGAAACTGAAGCCTCAATCTGTTAAAAGACAACAGATTACTTACGAGACAAGTACTCAATCGTCTTGCAAATTTTTTTTTTTTTTCGAGCTTTAGCAGAATGTATGTATACCTTTTGATTTGTTGGATTTGTTCGTCGGTGAACGAATGAGAGAGATTAACAAACAAGGCTTCTCTCATTGCATTTTCGAGCTTTGGGTCGGCAAATTCGTCCAATGGGAGTCGGATCAGCTCATTGATTGGCCCGTTTGCTAGATGCTCGACTTTATCGGGCGATGATCGAATGTTGAGGACAGGTGTACAAGTTATTATCGAGCCAAAAGTACGCTTTGTTTTGTTCTTGAGAAAGGATTGTGCATTAGTGTAAATCGAGTCCATTGTCTCCAAGTAAACCAGATTATCGACACTTGGATCAACGGGAGTTAATGGATCAACAAGTCGAGCCTATCAAAAGTAGATGGGAAAAAAAAAATGGTAACATAAATTAAATTTTTTTTTGCTGTTTCTAAAAAAATTAAATTTGGATTGGTTTTAACTTACGTTGTTGTTCGATGGAAATGGTGTGAAGGAACTAACGCAAAGCTCGACTTCAATTAAGCACGTGTCGTCAACAATGTAACCTCTCGTTTGGTCGTGCAACTTATCGTGCGAGATGAAAGTAGGATAACCCCAACTTACCTGCCCATGCTTGAAAGTGCCTTTTGTCTCTGTTTTGAACATGATAAACAATCAAGCTCAACAAAATTTCAAAAAAAAAAAGATAAAAAAAATGAAGTAAATTAAGATAAATACCACGGTCAACGGACTTCTTTTGGTCAAACTGGTCGACTAAAACGAACGTGATATCAGCTTCGACAAACCACCCAAACGGTGCCGTAGGTTCGTCTATAACGTCGATATATAAAGACAGATAGCCATCTGCTTTGTTGCCTTTGGGGTAAACGAAGATCCTCCTGATAGAAGGAGAAGAAAGTATAATATATAAATAAATTCAATATATATGAATCGATAGTTTTAAATTTGAAGCACATATACCATTTGTATCCTGCAATCGAGCAAGTCTGTGAGAAGAGCTTCTTCACGTTTAGCTTTGAGAAATTGTCGATTTTCCAGGCCAGCTTTGTTACTTTGCAAGCCTCCAGTGATTGGTTTTGCACAATGCTTTCCATTCTTTTTCTTGTGATATATGACTGATCACATAAACAAGAAAATATTATGTCAAGAAAGAATTTTGTTTGCAAGAACAAAATTAGCTTTGGTTGGTTTGATGACTTTAAGAATTAGAAGATGACAACTCAACCTGCAGAGATGATTTGATGCCTAATTCCTAATCTGTGCCTTAAATTTATAACAAAATAAAGTCAACACACAAAGAGAGATGCATGATATTATGGTAGTGTGTGAGTTCCACTGTATTTATTATCTGTACAAATATTATATTGTAAGTTCCAGGTAGATGAAGACTTGACCAAGTCAGATGTTGAACAATGGAATATGTAAGTATAATTTCTGAATTTCCCAGAAACTGATGAGTTAAATCAAAGAAATTGTTATGAAATTGAATTCAAAAGTCTCTTTGTTTACTTTTAACTAAAAATAATAATAACAATAATAATAATAAAATAAAATTATTGCGATTGCACTTAATATTCTCCTGCGGGCTACATAGAGAACATTCATGTGAGGTTGTACTTACTATCTCGTTTGGCGTTATTGAATTGACAATTTTTCTAGTGCTATTGAAAAATTGTCAATTCAATAACGCCAAACGAGATAGTAAGTGCAACCTCACATGAACGTTCTCTACGCAACCTCACATGAACGTTCTCATACTTACTATCTCGTTTTGTTTTACTTAGTTGTGTGATTGTCAATCATATTAGAATCATTGTAGTTTCCTTGTCGATCTCACTTTGGACCACATACACAACAACCAACATCACTATGATATATACAAAATAGCAATCTCCTCACATTGGCCACAAGTAAATGAAACTTCCTTCACGTCGATCTCAACTGATCTAGTGTGAAAAGTGTTGTCACCTAGAACTAGTTCGCACCTTTCAAAAATTATCCACTAGCAGCAACAGATACGAACCCTTTTGCAGTAGGAGTTGTACTGTGAGCCCGAAGAGCACGACGTGCACGATACTTAACCATTTTTTCTAGATGTTGAGTAAAATAATTCTCGACACTATGCGATTGTTGGTATATGTGTCCTAGAGACAATCTTTTTAAGGATATATATACATGATCGCATTAATAATTATATTAGATTATAATTATGGTATTGCAATTAATTAAATAATTGTTTGATTGTTTGCAACTTATTAATTGATTGCTCCCTTGAGTTGACACTGTCATTAACAGAGTGAGATGTTAATTGATAAAGTATAACTCTTAAATCGCCTAAATCGATGATCATTAAGAAAGGGATATTAATGATACGCGATAGATTGACATGTGGTCTGCATCATATTCTTTGAGAATATAGTATGTCTCACTACTATGAATAATTGTTATTCGTGATGGACACATGGATACTTTAGAGAGTATTGGCATACCCTACTGATAAACCATTTGTTTATGTGTCTATGGGAGTATCGGTGTGTAGAATGGTGTAATAGTCCTTTGACTTGAGGCCAATACGCAATTCATGTAAAGAGTGATTTACTTAGACCTAGTCCAAAGCTTACGCCCTTATGGGTAGATACGGGCTTGTGTTGGGTTGATCACGATATACATAGAATTGGTAGTTGAGCCAAGCTAGGATTCATTCTTCGAATATAGTTTCGAGAGAACACTCGTTTTCTCTATACTGGGTTGATAAAGTCATTGACCAATGCACATGATTATCTTTGAAATAGTGTTCAAATATAATTGATAAAATCAACCAATAAGATGAGATAAAATGATTAAACTGTTTGGATAGACACACGTTCAAATCCTAAGCTTAATCGAGTGGTTCGTGAATGAAGGGACCGTATCACTATTGAATTCTACACCAAAGGTTTGTTTACTTTGTCTATGTAAACGTACTTCATATTTTGAGTTCGTCCTTCGACGCAGTCTAGGAGTTTCGTAAGGATCATAAATTAGATTTATGTCAATATATGAAGGCCTATAGGGTCACACAATATGCAATCTATTTTCCGGCTAAAAGTGAATCGAGAGTGTTAAATATTCAATTGGATTGGAATATTTATTTTTGAGTAATGAGATTATTTTCTATTTGATAGAAAATATTTAATTAAGTTAAATTGGACTTAAAATATTTAATTAAGTTAAATTGGACTTACACTTAATTAAATCATTAATTAATTGGATTGGGTCCAATTACCTATTGGGCTAAGTTATCCTAAAGCCCATATAATTAGGTTTAACCTAATTATAAATAGGTGGTTATCTCTTCATTAGATGTGTAACGATCATTAGATGAGTAAAAGGAGATACGCCGTAAAACACAAAACACTCTCTGGCTTTCTGACTGAGGATTCCTAGCGTCTTCACCGGAAAGGATTCATTGCGTTGGATCGTGCACCGGGATCTAGATTGCGTGGATACCATAGTTGAAGACAAAGCTTAAACTGTAAGTTTTCGTTAATTATTCACGCGATCTAGGATCATATCGAATAGCTATACCCGGATCTTCGTTGTTGGTAAGAAAATTTTAAAACTTTCGCTGCGTGTGCGATTGATTCGTACGTAAAAAATCCAACAGCGATGTCTTCCCACAATGCTTACAAGATTCTGAAGAGCCACCTCTAGGTGCACTAGACCATTGAGAACATTTCCTTTGAGAAGCTGCAAGGACGTTGTAAGATACTAACGGATGAGCAACTGACATAAAATTGAGACGAGTCTCTTCACCAATTAAATGAGATAATGCATGTGTCATGATTAGAGCAACCATGTATGAATGGACTCAAATGATGCTCTTACTGCCATGACAAATCAATATATAGAGAATTTCTCAACAATTTTATGTGTTGAACAATCCTCTTCCTTGCATCGAGGTACCATAAAGTTCACTGGTTACATCAAATGATTAAAGGTCGAGTACCATAATGTTCAATGGTTACATCAAATGATCAAAGGTCGAGTAGTACTCATCGATGGACATGCGATTATGTTCAACCACATTAATTAGCTATATAAATGTGTGCACGATGTCCACTATCTTGAAAGTAGCGTTGTTGCAAATAGGACCACATTGTATTGGTTGTCCCA